GTTAGGGAAGTAGCATAGAAGGGCACGTGTTTGTCCTGCCTTGTGTAACCTGCGTGGCCGCCATCTTTGCACCATCCTCCCCTTCTGTGCAGCCCATGGGTGTTGATGACTGACACCCGTTCTGCAGACACCCTTCATGTTCCAGTGCTTCTGACTTGCCTCACAGGCATGTGGGAGATGCCGTGCTGTCTTGGGCCCGAGTGGAGATTTTGGGACATGCTGGGCCCCGAAGGCTCAAGTTTCCCACCTTAGCTGCCTGAGATGCTACTGGTTTTTCTGAAATGCTCTTTGCTAGACATAGGGTGTTTTTGTTGTTGTTTTGCTGTTTTTTGTTATAGGGTGCCTGTGTTCACCAGAGAGAGAGAAGGAAAGTGAGAAATCACCCCCTATGGGGGAAGGCCATGCCACAGTCCCTTCTCTTTCATTCTCCCCTTGGGGTGTTGGGTACACACGCATACACACCTGGTATGCTTTTTAAGCTGCTGGGTCCAGGTCTTGAACTGCGCAGTTGGTCATATGGAATCCAGAACCTAAACTCCTGCCACCTGCTAGCCCTGATCCTACTGCTCTTTAAAACTCACGCTTTTAAACCTTTCGGGATCCCACCAAATTGAGTTGACAGCTCAGCTCTAATCCTGCCCTGCTGTTCCGGGAGTTCTGAGCCTGGAGTCCTTGGGGCAGGGTCTGTCCCTGTGGGGTCTATGGCATCTACCTGTGCTGTGTTGGGTTTGGGGGCTTTGCACATCTGTGTCCCTAGCACCCAGCCATGACTCACTACAGCCAGCAGGCACTTAGGATGCACGAATTTACTTGTCCATAACCTACCTGGGACTGTGCCCAGGAAATGCCCCTGCCCAAAGCTATGCTCTCTGTGAGTGCTGTGAGAGTCCTTCGTAATGAGGTGTGCTTTTGCCTGTTGGTCCTTTTACCATCGTCCAGGCTGACTGTTGTATATGGCTACAGGATAGAATCGTGGGCCCCGGCTCCCATGGGTCTTTGTGTTAGGGTGCCCACGGTGGTTTTAGGAAGGTAACTTTGTACCCTCAGACACTTTCCAGGTTCACTTTCCAGGGGAGGGTTTTGGTTCTACCCTGTCTGTCCCTGGCCCATTGTTGCAGGGACTGTCTCACCTGCCCTAGCTCAGGGACAGGAAGCTGGCGGCTCCCCGTCCACAGGCAGGACAGAGTAGCTGCCCCCAGGTTCTACCAAGAAGTGCTGTCCAGCACTCTGTCCTTTAGCACGTCTCAGAAGCGGAGAGGAGTGGCGTGTGGAGGCTTTTCTAAAGTATGTGATATGACTGCTGGTCAGGAGTGTCCTTCTGTCATAGGGCCTTTCAAGACTCTGATGAAAGCTAACTGGTGCTGCATCTCAGGATAGCTAGCGAAGGGGCCAGCAGGTGGCATGGTGGTGAAGGCACCGGACTCCCACATGGCTGACTGTGGGTTGAATCCTGGAGCTGGTGGCTTGAAAATCATGTTAGCTGATGCGTGTATGCCCCAAATCCTGAGAAGACACTGGAAGGAAGGGATTGCACCATGGCCATCCCCTGTGAGGGGTGATTTCTCACTTTCCCTCTCCCTGTCTCTGTTTCTATGTCTCTCTGGTGAGCATTTGTACCCTATGGCAAAAACTTAATAAAAAATTAAAAAATGGAAACCCAGCTAGCTCCATTTACTTACTTATTATGTCCCAGGTCATCTTCTAATCATGGGAGGTATTAACCTTTACATATATTAGTAATTTAATGCCTGCAGCAGTTCTGTGAGGAAGTGACTGCCGCTCTTCTTGTTTTTGCAGCTCTGAACTCGAGCCCTAGGAGGTTAGCCTGAGTGCAGAGCTGGCGAGCAAGGAGCCGGACCTGGGCAACCTGGCCGAGGGGCTGGATCCTTTGCCTTTAGGCTCTGCTGTGTCCCCAGCTCTAAACTCAGATGTTTTCACTTGTACCCTATTCAGGCTGGGCGGTTCAGAACCTGCGACCCACTCTGCTAAGCTGAATGCCTGGCCCACAGGTGGCAGCCCGCCATAGGAGCAGCAGCCTTGGGCTTCCGCAGGGCCCTCTCACTGCCGAGCTTCCCGGTGGCATAACAGAGTCCCACAGATTCAGTGACTTCAACAACAGACACTTACATTTCTGGGGTCTGGAATCTGAAATGAAGGTGTCTGCAGGGTTGGCTCCTTCTGAGGCCATGAGAGGAGGATCTGACCAGGCCCTCCTGGGCTCGTAGATGCTGTCTGTCCTGTGGCCATCTTTCTGTGCACATCTGTCCTCAGTTTCCCTGGTAAATAAGGCTTTCGGTCCTTGTAAAGGATGAGGGCCCACCCGAGCGGACTCAGCTGAACTGATTATATCCGCAGTGGTCCTGTTTCCACATCTATCAGCTTTGGTGACCCCAGGGGTCAGGACTGCAGCATAGGACTACAGTCCTACACATAACAAGGACCTACAGGGAAGATTCTGGTCTTTAAATCGAGAGTGCTGTTTTCCAGAACAGATGGTTTACTTCTCCCACAGGGAAAGTTGGGATTCCTGGGCCCGGTCACCCTGCAGTGGAGCTTGGGCGGGTGCGGCTCTGGGCAAGTGTGTGAGGTTTCCTGCTGTATGGTGTCTGGCCTTGATTCCTTTTGGGGGTATTTAGTAATTTCTCATTTTCTATTTATGTTAATTTGCTTTTCTTGTGTGTAACCTGATAAAGCACTTTAAATTCTTTTCAGAACACTGATCTGTGTAATTAAAGGAGCTCTTTCCTGCTTCTTAGGCCCACATTTATCTCCTGTTTCCTGTTACTATTAGCTGTTCTATTGCTAGTTCCCTTCCTTTCTTTCCTAGGCTGGTCTTAGAGCATTTTCTAATATTTGAAGATAGGCTGGGGCCAGCAGGTGGCATGGTGGTTAAGGCACATGGCCAACCGCAGTTCGAGTTCTAGACCTGACGACTTGTTTTCTCATTTTCCCTCTCTTTCTCTCTGTCTCTGGCTGAATTAAAAAAACAATAATAAATAAAATTAAAGTGATTCTTAAAAAAAAAAAAAAAAGGCCTCTTACACTGGGGCAAGGTCATTTGGGAACCTTTCTGAAATCCTGTTTCTCCCCATAGGGGAAGTCCCTGAGTCTCATTTGTGGAGCCCTCACCTGGCTCCGTGATTTTGAACAGAGAAAACGTCAAGAAGAGGCATGTCTCCTTGAACCTGGAACCCGGCCCTTATGTGATGGGAAGGACCCACTCCCCTCCCCCTCACCTTCCTGCCAGGAGACCCCAGAGGCCCTGAGACCGACCGGAGAACCAGACTGGGTGACTCAGTTTGTGCAGAAGAAAGAAGAGAGGGACCTGGCGGATCGGCTCAAGGTGCGATCTGGGGCGACAGTAAGCGGCCTCAGCGATGACCGCAGCTGACCCCAGATTTAGATGTCTGTGCTCTTTGCCATCGCAGTGCCTCTCAGCGCTCTGTCAGCTTGAGCCAGTGGTCTCTCCCTTTCCTGTCTTCCCTTTTTTAAAGTTCTTTTCGATTTCTTGAAGGAGAGAGAAAGACAGGTACCCAGGACAGGGTTTGCCATGCTGCAGCCTCTCTGCATCCTCCCAGCAGGATCACAGGCACGTGTGTGCACACCGGCGTGTTCAGGTTGACTCGGACCCAAACCTGGACCTCCCGGGTGGCTCCAGCATCACTGTGCTGGGCCTGGTAGGTCAACAGGCCTTTTCCAGACAAGGAGCTGGGAGTTCTCATTTATTACTCACCTGGGGCCGACTCCTGGCATGGCGGTTGATGCAGCTGGATCCCACATGGCCCACCCTGGGGTTTGAGTCCTAGAGCTGGTGGCGTAAAACACGCTAGGAGGGACCAGCAGGTGGCAGAGTGATTAAGGTGCTGGACTCCCACATGGCTGATCACTGTTTGAGTCCCAGAACTGGTGGCTTGAAAATCATGCCAGGCATATGTGTGTGCATGCCCAAAATTTCAGGAGGAGAATGGAGGAGGGATTCCAATGTAGCCATCCTACCTGGGAGTTGATTTCTCTTTACCTCTTTCTATATCTCTCTGGCTACACACTCTTTCTCTCTTTCTATATCTCTCTGGCTACACACATGCCCTATAGAAAAAACTTAAAAACAAACATACAAACAAAAAGGAGCCAGATATGTGTGCATGTCCAAAATCCTGAAAGGAGGAAAAAGGGATTGCAGTGTGACCATTCCCCATGGGGGTGCTTTCTCCTCTCCCTCTCTGTGTCTCTTTGGTGAGTGCATGTACCTTCTGGCAAAAAAAAATAGAAGTCATTACCTGGGAAAGGAACCACAGCATGCCATTGGCAACAAAGTTCAATTCCTGTGAACTCTGTGAAGGGGTGAACTGGCTGAGAGTCTATGGCTTCAAGGCAGAGGGCAGGCTTCCTGCAGTGGTCAGCATGGCTAGGGCCTGGAGGGGTGAGGGTCTGAGGGGATGCTACTGAGCTCTGATGTGGGCCAGGGAACGGGAGCCACCCACACTGAGGAAGGCCTGGGTGGACTCCCCTCATGGCCGCACACTCTTCAGGAGGAGCAGGTGCGAAGGAAGCGGCGGGAGGAGCGCCTGCAGCAGGTCCGCCACAACGCGCAGCTCAGGTTTGCAGCCAAGCGCCTGGTGAGTGTCTGTCACTGGAGACTGAGAGGCCGGCTCGTGCCCAGTGGGTCGCTTTGCTAAGTGGGGCATCCTGGGTGGGGGAGGCCTGGGCTTGGGGTGGATTCCCCCAGTCAGTAGTAAGGGCCCGTCCATGGCATGCATATGCATTGTCCTCGGTGACAGCCATGCTGGCGGTTGGCGTGTTGGGGAGCGGGCCCCAGTGCTGAGGCTCCCTCCTCTTTCCCACTCCAATGCCGGATGCAGAGGCAAGAGGAAGAAGAGACCGAGAGTCTGCTCCGCCTCAGCAGGGAAATGCTGGCTGTAGGCTCGGGGACCGCCCAACTAGAGCAGCTGGAGTCTGGGGAGGAGGAGCTGGTCCTTGCCGAGTACGAGAGCGACGAGGAAAGGAGAACAGCCAATGGGTAAGACGGCTGCTGCCGGGCACAGTCCCTGGTCATGGTGGCTCTTCCCCATGTGCCAGCGACACCCACGCTGATGGGAGCCTGGTGGCCTCTGCCCATTTCCCTTACATGGGACCCTTCTCAGGCCGTACATGGCAGTGGCAGGGATAGCTGGCCTCGTGGTCTGCTGGTCCCGGCTGTGTGTGTGAGCCCGGTGGCCCTCTCGGCAGCTCTCCCAAGGCAGTGGGTGTTTGTGTCTACGCTTCCCAGTCAAGGAAGCCATGGCCTGTGAAGTGACAGGTGACGTGCCAGCCAGTGCACTCGGAGCTGCACGTGAACCGCCACCCTGGCTCTGGAAGCTCGAATCTGCCTATTCCCCTAAGGCTGCTGGAACAGATCGTGGGTTCCTTCTTGAGGCTTTGTATCCCCCTGGGTAAGCTGGAACGCTTACTCGGCCCCAGGGATGACCTCACTCAGCCTCTGAGGGTCTGCTGTAGGGTTGCACGTCCCAGTGTTGCAGCTGTGAGGTGCAGGAGACAGATGTGGCCTCCACTCCTGCAGAGCTGTGAGGCCAGCAGCACCTGTTTACCAGTGAGGGCAGGGAAAGGGTGTGGACCAAGTCAGGGGGGCACACACTGCAGCAGGAGAGATTGAGAAAGGCCCTACGTGGAGCAGACTGTGAGCCCAGAACTGGGTGTAAGCAGAGCCATGGGGAGGTCTGGGAGTGAAGGCTGTGGTTGGGAACTGCCAGCACAGGTGGTCGGAGACAGGGACAGGCGTGGTGCGTTTGAGGAGTGGAGAGGAGGCCTGGGCACTGGAGCAAAGTGGGAGTGGGGGGAGAGCGTGGTGGTGACACACCTGGCTTGGTCTGTAGGCTCCTGGCCAGGTCAGCGTTCTGTCACTGAGTGTGTGCGTGTGGTAGGGGGAGGCTGGGGTGTGGTGGGCTAGAGCAAAGGAGATGGGCCATTTGGCTTTGAAATCCGTGGCCTGAGGCTCCCTGCGGAATCGCTGCTCGGCCCCGGGCTCTGTCTGAGCGTCTTCTGCCTATCCAGAACGCCCTTCCTCTCTCCATTGGCCGTGTCGCCCCGGCAGTCTTGGGTGTCAGCCCTTCTGTCCCTCTCTCTGTGGGCCCACCCGTGTGTGCTTTCTGCTCATCCCTTCTCTCCATAGTGAGCTATGAACTCTGGGGCAGGACCACCTCTCTTTGATGTCACGTCCCCAGAGCTGGCCTGTTGGGCAGAAAGGTGTGCCCAAAGAGCATTCTGAGAGAGGCCACTGGTGGCCTCAGCCCTGTGGCATCATTGTCCCAGTGGAGAATTTCTGAAGAGCTGACATGACAGGGCGCATATGGGCTAAGGTGACAGCACCCTCCTGAACTTGCTACAGAAGTCCGTGTGTAAGTGTCGTGCTGGGAGAGGCTCTGATTCTCCTGGCTGAAGGGCTATGCCACATTCCCTAACTTCACAGCAAACCTCCAAGCACCCCTGAGCTAAGTTACGTAACTGTTCAGTTTTGGGCCATTCATCTGTAGTCCTCCCCATAATAGCCGGGGTCAGGAGTGGCCCTCAAGCCCCCAGGCATGGGCCCCTGGGACAGGAAGGGAACACCCACATTTGTGTAGATTCCATCCTCATTAGCCTCTCACCCTCTGTGAGGCACTGCCTGCCTTCTCCTACTTCATGAGAGCGTTTCCCAGGCCCCTCGAGGGAAGGAGGGTGATGGCCTCCCTGTCAGTGTGGTAGGAGGAGCCAGGGCCTAGGCTCAAGCTCAGCTTTGAGAACCCGGGTGAGAACTATAGCAACTACCTCTGCCCAGGTGGAGACGTGGCGCCATTCCGTGTGGCACACCAGGGACACTGCACACTCCCTGGACCTTCCCACCTGCCCACGGTCACTCTGCTGCTTGTCCAGTCCTGGAGCCCTTTAGGTACGGGTGGAGAGCTGGAGTGGGGGTCAGGGATGTCCAAGAGCTCTGACCCTGTAGCTTCCACTGTGTCTGAGGCCCTCGCCTTTCTAGAGCCACGTAGCCTCTCTGAAGACACCACTTCCAGATACATTTTTGCCCTTTTTTTTTTTTTAGTATTTTTTTCCAGGAGTGAGAAATAACCATCTGTCACAGGGCATGGTCATGCTGTGATCCCTTCTCTTCTATTCTCTCTGGATTTGGGGCACATATGCCCAGTGTGATTTTCAAGTCACCAGGTCCAGGATTTTATGCAGTCGGCCATGTGAGATCCAGCCACCTTAATCGCCAGGCCATAGGTGGGCCCCATATTTGTTTTTCAAGTGTATTTATTTGTTCCTGAGTGAGAAACAGAGATGGCACTCCTCAGCACCCCTCTTTTAATTTTTTAAACTTTATTACTTTTGTAATTTGTTATAGGACACATAACAGAAGAGAGAGAGAGAGTAGTGAGAGGGAAAGTGAGAAAGCCAGCCACTAGGTCCAGGACTTGAGCCGTGGTAGGTGGCCATGTGGGAGTCCAGTGGCTTTAACCACCATGCCATCTGCTAGCCTACCTCTCAGCAATTTTAAAAATAGTTTGTCACTATCTCTTCTTTTCTTTTCTGGAGAGGTTTTTGATACAGGGCATGTGTACTTGCCAGAAAGGGACAGAAGCGAGAAATCACCCCCCCCCCGGGGGGATGGCCACACCGCAATCCCTTCTCCTCCATTCTTCTCTTGGGATTTTGGGCACACACGCACACGCGCGTGGCATGAGTTTAAGCCACCGGGTCTGGGACTCGAACAGTGGTCGACTACATAGGAGTCCAGTGACATAGCCATTAGGCCAACTGCTGGTCCTGGATTTAGAATTTTTTTTTTAAAGAATTATTTTATTTAACTTTATCATTATTATTTTCCAATTTGATCAGAGAGAGACAGAGAGAGAAAGAGGAGGTGAGAAAGCAAGCCACCAGGTCAGAGACTTGAACTGTGGTTGGCCATGTGGGAGTCCAGCGCCTTTAACCACCATGCCACTTGCCGGCCCCATGGATTTAGAATTTTTAACATAGGTTATGTGTGTTCATCATTGGCTGGACCCACTGATTGTTCTTATCTTATTGGCTCTATCACATGTGGCTGGGCCCACTGATTTCTCAGTGGATATTGCAAATGTGGCTGGGCCCACTGCTTCATCTCATTGACTGTGTCAAATGTTTAATCAGCCAACACCCACCACTGTCTCCCGCCTACATTACCTTGGGCAGGGATTTTTCTGACCTGATCGAATTTTTTATCCAGCCAGACAGGCAGATGCTCCAGCCCCCCCTTACTTGCCTCCATTTGCTAACTTTCTCCTGCCTCATTTTCCCCCTGAGAGGCATGACCCCTCCATTTATCTTTTTGGGGAGCCAAAGGTGGATGGTCTGTCTTCTCTAACTGCTTCATGCTAGGAATGGCTATTGGGTGTTGACCCTACCTATTGGGGGCCATGGAATTCTTGCCCTGTCTGATTTAGGTGGGAGAGCGGGGTGAGGGCAGATCATTGAGATCGTGCCCTGATGTGTCGTTTGGGGGAGCTGTTGAAGGCTGTCATTGCTGCTGGATGACTTGCAGTAGGATTCAGCGGAGGCCCAAGGAGTTGATATTCCTATTGAATGGTCGTTTGCCATTTTACAGCTTCCGTGATGTCCAGAATTACCCAGGGTTCCTCGGTGGTTAGGTTGACTAGTCTGGGCAGGGACATAGAGGATTTCTCTGGGCTTCCTCAGCTGTCGGTTTCCTCCCTTTGGCTCATGAGGACCTTGGCTGGCCATTCCCCTTTTCGGGAGAGCAGACAGTCAACCCTCCAATGCCAGGGATCATTTCCCATATTATGGCATTGATGCAGGGCCTGGGAGTTGGCGGATGCAGTCTCTTACCCAGTGTCTCGTTTTTTTGCACTTGAAGCAGGGATCTGTAGGTTTCTCTCTCTGGTTTTTGGGTACACGAGTTTCTTCCAGTTTTCCAGCAGGTGCAGATGAGTCTTCATTGTGGGATTGGAGTAACCTAAAGAGGTAGACTCCTGGCTGGCTCATCACAACGCATGCAGGATGGCTTCTGTGATGGTATCCAGGTTCTTGGTGTTTCAGAAGAATTGAATGAAACAGGCAAATAGTGTAAGGAAAAGTACACTCCCGAGATGTAGGAGCAGGCCCAAACCGACAGAAAGAGCAGCTCAAAAGGCCCTAGCTGGACACCTGATTTAAATCCAAGCCTAAGACAAAACTGACTGAACGTACTGACTGGGAAGCCGGCCCTGTAACTGACCTGGTGCAGTGGAGTAGCCCAGTCCCATTGCATTACTGCTCTTTAAAACAGCAGGTGATGAGGTAGTTAGGGCACTGCACTCCCACATAATTCGAGTCTGGACCTGGTGGCTTGCTTTCTCACTCTCCCTGCCCCCCCATCTCCAGTGAGTATATGCGCCCAAGAGCAAATTTAAAAAATAATAGTAATAAATAAATCTCATTTTTTTATAGGGCATGTGCACTCATCAGAGAGACAGAAAAGGAGAAATTACCCCCTAAGGGGGATGGCCACACCGTAACCCCTTCTGCGCTCTCCTCTTGGGATTTTGGGCACTCATACATGTGCAGCCGGCCCCACATGTTTTTCCATCCGCTGGGTCTAGGATTCAAACCATTCAGTCAGCCCTGTGGAATCCAGCTGCCTCAACCACCAGCTGGCCCAAAACAGATTGAATTTCAAGGTGAACCAAAGAAATGTTTGATTCCATATGGTGTTAGAAGAGGACCTGTTTCCTCAGGGCCTAGGAACAGCGTGGATGAGTTAGCCTGCCCTCCGTGCACCCCCAGTACTGGTGGGATTGTAGGCAGGGCGGGTAGGAGAGGATCACTGCTCATATGTGACCTTGTCTTAGTCCCGCAGCCAGCTGTGTGGCTATCCTTGAGATGTGTGAGTGAAACTTGGCATAAACAGACCCATTTCCTGCTGGGGGGACTTGCTAGCCTGGCGGGAGACAAGCCAAGAGGAAGTAGTTTTGCATAAGATGGATGTTACAGGGGACAGCTTCAGGAACCAGGGAGTGGTCAGGGCAGCTGGACCTGCCAGAGGTCATCAAGGAAGGCTCCCCGGAGGAGGTGCTTTTAGGCTGAGTTTCAGCATTGACTTGGCTTGGTGAGGAGGAGCCAGGTTCTTGGGCAATAGAGAGGTCCAGCTGCTAGGGGATGGACAGTGGAAGGAGAGTGGCCCACGATGGCTATTGGGCCAAGCCCTCCAATCTGTGCCCTGGGCTTGAGGACACTGTTCCTGCTCTGTGTTCTCTCCGCCTACCAGTTCCCATGTTCCATAGCCCTAAACTGCAGTGGGAGCAGTGGCCTGGGGTCTCTGGATGAGCCAGCACCTCCTGCCCTGGTGCAGCCTCTTTGCTGGGATATGTCTGTCTCCCTGCAGGCTCCAAGCTCAGCCCTCAGCCCTGTTGACTGCCAAGGACAGGGAAGGCTCGTTTTGACCACTGTGTCCAGGTGCTCAGTGGATGCCCGGGAACATGGTGTAGCTGACTCGAGTTTGCCGTGTTTCTGTCTCACAGAGTGGATGAGGATGAGGATGAGGACGGCCTGGAGGAGGAGCACGTGACTAAGGTGAGACGCTGCATTCATGGGGCTTCCCCGCCCTGGCCTCTTCCTTCCTGTCCATGAAGAGCATCCAGCTGTGGGCTTCTGCCTGCCCAGACTTGGACTTTGGTTTCTGATTGCTCCCTTCTCAGGCTGGGGGGCCCTGGGGAGGCCTCCCAGGAGCAGCAGTATGGAGGGGAGGAGGCCTCTGGGCACGGCTGGTGGTGGTGGTGGGTAGTGCCCGGCCCTTGGGCCTCTCCTGGTCATGTCCCCCTTGGTTTGTGTTCTCATCCCGTTGGCCTGGAGTGTCTGTGGTGTGTCTGGCTCTGACGCTTCCCAAACGTGGGAATACTTGGTTCCCTTTACTGAGTACTTGTTTTCTGTTGAAAGTAGATGTTTCCTCTATTTTTCTCTTTTTCTTCTCCTTACTCTCCCCTAAGTCTCAGATGAGTAGAGCAAGAGTGTTTGGCACAGCCTCTTCCTCTCTTGCTGTCCCTCTGGGGATGCCCCTCTACTCCAGAATGTTAGGACTCTGCCCGTTAAGAACCACCACTTGAGAGCCAGCAGGTGGAATGGTGGTTAAGGTGCTAGGTCTCACATGACTGACTTTACGGTTCTGGTCTTGGACCCAGTGACTTGAAAATTACTGGTGTTTCTGTGCGTGTGCCCAGAATCCCAAGAGCTGAGAAGGGATTGCAGCATGGCAGTCTCCCCACTGGGGGTGATTTCTCACTTTCTCTCTGTCTCCCTCTGGTGAGCACATGAGCCTTGTGGCAAAACTTTTCAGGTTTAAGAAAAAAGACCATTGCTCGGCAGAGGCACTTTCTGAAGGTGGCCCAGCCCTCCGAGGCAGCTGGCTGGAGGCTGAGTGTGGCCGATGGGGTCCCTCCTGTGGGGGTCCCTGGCTGCCCACAGTGGGCTCTGCTCTGGTACAGCTGCAGCCACTCTCCCTGTACCTCAGCCCCTCAGGCTCGGCATGGCTCTGTGTACAGATAGTCGTCCTCTTTGCAATCCCTCCTCCTCCTCCGACCAGATTTACTACTGCAGTCGGACGCACTCCCAGCTGGCCCAGTTCGTGCACGAAGTCCAGAAGAGCCCCTTTGGCAAGGAAACCCGACTCGTGGCTCTCGGCTCTCGGCAGGTAATTAGCCGGTCTCAGCCCGGTGCCCCCTTCCTCATGCCGTTGTCTTCCTGGTCAGTCCCGGTATAGGAAGGCAAGGTTCAGAGGTACTGAGCACGGGAGGGCCCCTGGTCTTGTTGGCCCCTGGTTAGAAAAGAAGAGCCCAGCTGGGCTGAACTGGACTGGACTGGGCTGGGCTGGGCTGGGCTGGGCTGGGCTGGGCTGGCAGTCCCAGCAGGTGGCTTGTGTGTCACTTAGCCAGCCCCATTTCATTGCTGTCTCCTTGCTTCTGTATGTAGAGCCTCTGTGTCAACGATGACGTGAAAGTCCTGGGTTCTGTGCAGCTTATCAATGACCGCTGTGTGGAGATGCAGAGAAGCAGACTTGGTAGCCTGGGCAGATGGCACAGCCCTGGGGAGGCCGGGCTGGGAGGGACAGCCACAACTGAGGGGCTTAGAGCGAAGAGGTGAGGATGTGGAAGTGAAGGTGTCAGCCTCCAAGACAGAGATGTTGGTTCCTTCTGAAAGGCCCTCTTCTTGGACAGAGGTGTCCTGGCTCTCTGGGTTGGTGTCTGGGGCAGGTCCTTGGTTCTAGGGGGCCCTGCAGCTCTTTCCGAAGTGCATGAAGCGAATCCCAGGAGGTTATGGTGAGACCACAGTAAGTGGGACCACAGGACTGGGAAGCTTTTCCAGATGGCCCCCCATGGAAGTAGGCCTTCTTGTGGCAAGACCCTTTCAGCCCATGGACAGTTGTCCTCACTGTCCTCCTTCCCTATGCCTCCTCTACCTGTAGGCAGGAAGGACGAAGCTGAGGAGGAGAAGCCCAAGAGGAGGCGGCGGGAGGCCCGGGCCGCCTGGCCCTGCCACAACTTAACCCAAGGAGGGGGCGGGGGGGGCCCGGGCCCGCCTGTCCCTTCCACAACTATGAGCAGATGCAGCTGCTTCGGGACGAGATCCTAGTGGAGGTGAAGGACATCGAGCAGCTGGTGGCCCGCAGCTCAGGTGAGGGCTCGGGACTTGGGAAACAGTGTGGCTCTAATGGCCCAGGCCTCAGGGGTTTCCTTGTCCCCTTAAATCAGGAGGATAGCTGCTCTGGGACCAGCAGTTAGCGTAAATGGCTATGTCAGTGAACTCCCATGTAGTTGACCGTGGTTCGAGGCCCAGACCCGGTGGCTTAAACCCATGCCGGACGCGTGTGCATGTGTGCCCAAGATCCCAAGAGGAGAAGGGACTGAGGCGTGGCTATCTCCCTGGGGGGTGATTTCTCACTTTCTGTCTGTCTCTGTCTTTCTGGTGAGCACGTGCACCCTACAGCAAAAAACCTCTCCAAGAAAAAAAAGACAGCAGCTCTACACGCAGTGGTG